GCCAACCTCACTAAAAAGCTTTTCCAACCCAAAAARAAAGAAAGAAATTCTAATGTGCKGCCAGGCTAATGCGCACACAAGCGCTCAAAYAGGCAGTCATAGAATTTCAGAGTTTTAATATACTCGATCCCATAATACTTATTGAAATTCTTTGGCGTCGGCTCGCATATTTGCCTGTCCGCTCACTCCTTCAGCCTCCCCGCTGTTGTTAAATATTTCTCAAATTGCTGCTGTTTCTATTTATTTATCTTCGATTGGCGATAGTTGTTTTGTTGCCGAAATTAATTCGCTTTGAAATATTTTCGTGCGCTCGAAGGTGTTTTTGTGCGGCGCAAGAAGACCGCAGTGCGTACGAGGAATGTCGAAGCTGTTTATTGAGTGTCTGCCATAGACGAGCGGCTGTTTTCGAAATTATTTTTCGGTTGCTTGCAGAGCGGCATGTAGGTGAGTGTGACACCAATTAATGTTTACGCAAATCGGCGGCGCAATGTGCTGACKTTGGCAGCTGTAGCAAAATATTTATCGGCATACCAGTCACTGAACTTGTATAATAAATGAAATCGACATGAGAAAAAACAGCCTTTTTTTAAACACATTCTCCTGTTGGTTTGTCGGCTTATTGGGCTTTAGACAAACTTTGTGGCATTTTTCGTGACATTTCTTATTCCTCATTTTGCAATTATCGCAATCACTTCCTGCAAGCATGCGTTAGCTGAATAATTTTTACTGTTAGCTCAGCGAGTTCAGCAACGTCGAGAAGGAGGGCAGTGCTCGCCTTGCGATTTTTACGTAACTGCCATCTTGAGTTGGTGGACATATTTTACTGCTCTTTTGTCTCGACACGCACTGTCCATTATCTGTCAAGCGATCCATCTCTTGCAGGAAATTGACGAACGTCAAAGCAAATTGATGGCCGTTTTTATTAAATGCAAATCAAGCTGAGGCCAGTTAGAACTGCCAAGGCGTGTAAGCTTGTTTATTGCGGCAATTTGCTGCCAATACGTCATTGCTTAGCGTTTTGTTGCTCTTTTGCGGCATTTTCGCTTTATTATACAAATTTTTTGTCGTTGCCAGAAAGTCATTTGCATTCCACTCCGGTGTAGTCGAAATAAGACGTCCTTTGGGGGCGATAACATGTTTAAGATTTTCTAATTTTGTTTCGGATGGTCTTTGTTGTAGATTCTTCTTCTTCTTTACGTTGATATCGAGTTAAAAACAGCGCGCCAGTCGTTCTTTGTAGGTTCTGTTAACTCTGRTTCCATGAAAGACGAAATTATTTTGGACTTCTAAGTTATGCCTTTCAAAAGTGACGTGGGCGCCAGGTCGCCAATGCGACGACTCTTTGTGTGATGACAGGAGATATTTCCCATTTACTTCGCTTCCTTATTCTGTCTGAAGAAACATAACTGAAGGGGCGGTTGTTGAGGTATGATATCGATGCCATCGGCGTAYTCCAGCAGCTGCACACYCTTATAGAAGATTGTAACGTCTTTATTCAGCTCTGCAGCTCGAATCATTTTCTGCAAGAGTAGATTGATGAAGTCCCAAGAGAGAGATTCGCCTTGTTTGAAACCTCGGTTTGGTGTCGAACGGCTGAGATCACGGTCCCAAAGAAGCTCTTGGTATTGCTCAACAACAKTTTACTCAGCCGTATTAGCTTYGCGGGGATATCAAGTTCAGACATCGCGGCATAAAGGCCGTTTTTCCCCGTTGTCAACCGAAGAAGAGGTGTGTGTCGATGTTTTTCGCGGGTATTTTCCACGACTTGGCGCATGCTGAATAACTGGAATATCTGAGTATCTTAATGTCTKAGACGGCAAAAATCAATCAGTGCTGTCTTGCTTGCTGTGCCATATGCATGACAATCACGGCATGTGTGACCTCCTGTCGTGTGGGACGGGTAAATGCTGGCAACCAATCGAAATTCTTGCAGGAAATTGTTTGCCTTTCGTTGAGTGGAAATATCTGAAAGGGAACATCACTGAATTTAYAAAATCCGATGAAAAAATCCACAATCTTTTAATGTAAATGCCGCAGGCAAATTTCACAGAAAACTCTGCGGCAGTCAAAGTAAAAAATATTTGAAGAATACAAATTAATTTTRCATCCTATCACTCTTTATCATATTCGACTTTTGCTGTTTTGTTATTATATTGCTCCGCTAAACAAACCGCAAAATGAATATTTTGTTGGCGCAATGAAAAGAAAACACTWGCAAAGCATTCGAACCGCGAACAATTTCGACGCTGTGCTGCTGCGCCTAAAAGTATGCCTACAATAAAGTGGATGACTTATTGCGTAACCTCCATCACTTCAGAATTTACGTGCAAWTTCGCATATAAAAAGGTTAGGAACAGCACCGAAATTCAACAAAACCGGCGGAATTCCCGTGGGTGGAGGATGGACGTTGCGAAAAATATGGAAATGCCATGAAGCTTCCACCATAAACACGTCACATATGCACATAAGAAACTGAAGTGCTGCTATCCCTACCAAACAAAACTGTCGGTTTGCCACGTGCCTTTTAAGAGGCTTTAACTAAAAGCTGAGCGATTAAGTTCTCATCATAATTATGTCATTAAATTGTTTGTAAAATCAAGAATTTTTCCAAATTAATTTCTTATGCAATCAAAAGTAAATAAAGCAGCCGCACAACGTTTATTTACCCGCAGCTGAGGAAGTAAAAGTAGAAAATTAGCATTTTCATTCATTCTTCCTTCGCCGGCTCTGGACGTGCTCGCTGACGTATGAAATCATTGGGACAATTGACATGCGGACTTCCGAAAAGGAGACACGCTTAGACCTTTTTTGTTATTATATTTCTGCRCACACACACTTCTACATATACTCCTTCAATTGAACTCAGCAAGTGATGTCAAGGCAAATGTCGAAATTCCTACCAAGGATTCTGCCGAGTGAAGAATTTTGTTTAAATGTAAGCGATTTTCTAAGCGAGCTCAGAGAAAAGTACACAAAATACACACACATGCACGCGAAAACTCTAGGCAGATGTGACCGCAAATTTTATTTAGAGATTTGAGTTATTTCAACAAATTAATTAGCCGGCAAATGAAAATCCGCAGAAAAGTTTGAAATCGGTACTTAAATGTTATTCAGATTAGGAATTTCTGCGTCACAGCAGCTTTGGTTTTAGTGAATTAAAAATTTTAAATGAAATGTGCGAAGATTGGAGAACAATTTCGTCTGAATGAAAAGTTAAATGTCTAAATTATAAATTCGTTCGATCTTAAGATTTTTGAAAAGTTTTGCATTGACAAACTTCACAGATGGAAAATTCGGAGACCTCACAAAAAATATATGTTCTATTTAGCTATAACCGTCTGTCGGGCGATAWTGTAAATATGTATATGTGTGTATGTTTGTACATTTCTAACCTACCTGCTTCTAAAGAAACTAAATTTTCGATTTGAATTATCGAAACAGAGCTCAAAATAATGAAATATATCGTTTATAGTAACGATCCAACAACGAGTCGAAATTATTAAAATTTACTACCGAAATCCGGTGTCAGTGGCCTCAACTTTAAGAGCGCTAAGTCCAATTAATGGTCGTCATAATCGTCCTGTCAGATCAACAATTGCACGTCTAATGAAAAAAATTGATTCCACAGTTAGCGACGAGAATATTGCTGCCGCTAGCGCATTAATTGAGGAAAACCCAAATCAGTCTCTCAATAGTCGTTCTCAAGCATTGGGTACCTCTGTGACGTCGTTAGAAGATCAAATTGACGCAAGAACTGAGAGCGCTTGACCTCCAGCATAGTCGTATGTTCGTGAATTAGGCTGAGCAACAACTTGAAAATGATCCGGATTTTCAGCGAAATTTCGAAATAAGCAAAATATGCGTTATTGGATCGATTTATTGAAAACCAAGTGTGGTGAGCCCAGTTCAATGGAAACCTCGGTCGGGCGATTTGATGCCGCTTGACTATTTCCTGTGAGGCCACGTCAAGCTTATGGTCTATGCCAATAAGTCAGCGACGATTGATGAACTTCTAACGAAAATCGAACGTGAAATTGTGGCAGTATCGGCCGATTTATGCTTGAAAACTCGGATGTGCAAAATTGAGGATATGCATATATTAAATAGATTTCATAGAAAAGCCGCTGCAAGGCTTCTAACTTTACTCTCCTTCAACCAACCTCTTCTACCTACCGAAAGCTCCCACGTGCTATTGACTCCTCTCTTCTATCATTTACAGCCATATTAGTAAATGTCCTTATGCTCAAACGTACAGATGTATATATGTATATTATAGTGCAATTTTACTAGAGAAACCTCAAATTCTGTGTTCGTGTGTGTGTGTATGTGTTAAGTGATTGATGCAACACATTGTCATGACATTTATGGCAGCCAGCTCACACAATCAGTTAATAAAATTTCTCCCTTACTTACATCCTGCCTTTCTCYGTTTAACCACAACCCAATCTGAAAGTGATAAATGAGAAGTTATATGCTGGTCAGCTGCGGTCTCGGCGATAACCATAATTGCTGGTCAGGGTTGCACCCATTTACTACTGAGTGGCAGGAAGGGAATAAACGCAGTTGCACACAAATATCAAATGGCTTGCACAGCATTGAGACAAGCAGAAGAAATATCTAAAAATAATTACAATGAAAATAATGTAATAAATATTTTTGTTTGTACCGAGAGTGCTTAATGTGTGGTTTTTAAGTGAGAAATTTTTGTTTATCTTTCGTTGAAATGCAGTCTTTACAGCATATTTTTCCTAATATACTTAACTGTTAGCTAACTTGTAAACTACTTGGTAGTGAGTTAAATGAATGGCAAATATCCAGACACTGAGTTCAGGTAACCGTTGGCAACTAAATTCGAATTTACACTTATTTCACGTCTAAAACTCACGCCTAAAATTAACAGATCACTATCATAAAAATTTTAAAAATGCTTTCAAAATTTCCAAACGGAAATCTCTTCCTGGCTACTTACAGTGCAGAAAAATGTTCATTGTACAATAATGTCGAAGAGTGTGCCAACATTATCGTATATATCACTTATGCCAAACTGCTTCGAACTCTTTATTAAGCAGATCTCTTACGCCGTACTTTCTCTCTCGCCCACAGAAACCAGAAAGGACAAGACTGATGCACCATACGGTGGCAATGGCGCGGCGCTATCACCCAATACCGAACAGCCATCAGGTCAGAGTTCGTTGCTGCCACCACCCGGCGGTGGCAATGGCGGCGCGCAATCAAATCACAACCACSTGACACACGTCACTGGTGGCGTTGGCGTTGGCGGTGGCGGGAATGGTGGCAACAGCGGCGGTCGTGATCAGYATGACGGCGCTCCACGCACGCAGAATTCCAAATTGGAACGCCCCAATACGCTCGGCACCGGCAAGGTGTCACGTCGCGTAAACATTTGTTATCATAATGAGCATTGTAAGTTGCTGCCACTACATTTTTGGCATTTACCACACACTTGTTTTGCATTTAAGGACTTTCGAACTAACGACCAAACTGTATCTGTGTATTTGTACTCGCCACTTAACACCCTGCTAAATATTCACTCACCATACTCGCGTGTGACCTCAGCTATTATTGCCTAACATTCATAGTTCAACTCACAACAACTAAACCACACACACACTCAAATTCTCTTCCTTTCACACTCTCCTACTGCTCATGAACTCACTCTGTAGTTAGCAATTTGAAAGCTGGTGAGCTTTTCCTAGCAAGCAGACCTTCCTCTATAGCTATTTTGGGTATTTGAGGGTAGAAATAAGTTAGCCAGTATCATTTGGAATTAAGCTGCATACATAAATGTACTCATAAGTGTCTGTACATGTGACCTTGGCATTGAAAATAAGAGAGGATCTCCAACGCGGTGCTAATTTTAATTGAAATATCTTTTTCCCCGTAAAATTAACCCGAAGCGTCTTGTAAATATTTACACAAAACTCGCCCACTCACACACACACACACGCACACACCCACACACTCACACAGAGTGCAATTCAATTATGAAAATTGCCTGCACTATTTGCATTTTTGAGCCATAAAACTGCAGTAAAGCGATTATGCTTGGCGAGGAATAAATCATTTTGTGTGTGTTAAGCATTTTATTGCGCAATTCGCTGGCATAAACAAGTAGTTACGTTACGTAATGTTCAAGGAAGAAGTGAAAATTGTAGGTGATTCTGAAAACGAGCTGCGCTTTAAGCAAGGCTCCATGCTTCTTCGCCGAACTATGTGGTGTAGTGGATGCAAATGTTGCAAGGAAGCAAGAAGATGAATGAGTCAATAAACAAAATGTCGACTAATGGACAGAATATCATTTATCGGTGATAATTGTTATATACAATATACAATATGAGCCTATTGTTAGTCCGAGTGGCTGCAGGCGTTGTTTTATAATTGCGAGATACTTGTATTGAATAATTACAATTAATTTAGTATGCACGTGATAAAAAGTTTTTCCTTAGGCAATATCGAGGTATCGTAGAGTTCGAAGCTACTATGAAATACCGGACCAGATCCAGCCATCTCTACCAAACAAAACAGGTTGTTAGGAATATTACCATAATGGACCTAATTCTGAATGCTGATTGCGCCATTTCACTGAGCTATCGTAATATCTCATAGTCTTGCTGTTCCGTTTCATCGTTACGCTCGAACTATTTGGTGCACGTAATGAAACTATTTATATCCGTAATGAATTTTGTGGACAACCATTCAAGGTTTGGTGCCTGATAGGTTCGAAGTATTTTCTGTGGGGCTTGTGATAGAGTTGAGCTCCGCAGAAAAACTAGAACACCGTTTCCGTATTCTCTTTTATCTTGCACTTGTGGCTAATATTGTTATAAGGCAAATCCATATTTAGCGCATGCCCTCCAAAAGGCCACTGCTCCTTTACAGCACCTGTAAGTCTGTATGTGCTATTTCTGTACCCAAATAGTGGGTTCTTGGTTCTATTCCTGTCGTATTTGGCACATATCTAATTTGTTATTTTGCAGTTTGTTATTGAGTTCCATCCACTCTGAGATCTAAATGCATATAAAGTTATTTTTGATCACTGTCAGTGGGCATGGTATTGGCATGGTATTGGAAATTCGTCTAAAGAAGCTCTTAGCTTTGACAACTTGTCTGCTTATTCAATGCCGAACATTTTCCTGTGACGATGAAGCCAAATTAGGGACAAGTGGAGTTGACCAGCCTTGCTGCAGTTGCTGATGGTAATCTGTGGTGGCCGTGTATATGATTGCGTTCTATATTTTTCTGTAGTTGTTCAATGGAATTTCGCAGACTCTTCATAGTGGGAAGATGCTGGCTGAGTTTAGTAGGCGAATGGAAATAGAGATGGCAATAGATAGAAATTAAAATACCTCTCACAGTTTGAGTCAGCCTAATATATCAAACCAAACAATATGCTCTTAAAATAAAATATATAATTACATTTGTCCGCCATGTACTCCTAAACTMCTGAATSGATTTTAGCAAAATTTAGCACACTGTGCCCAGTTCGACTCAACTTAGAAGATAGGATAATAAAAATAATCCAAAAATAATAAATATAACGAAAGCTCTATTAAATGGGCGCTCTATTAAGCGGACATCTCTATAAACTGGACGAAAAGGGTGGTAGCAGTCTTAAATTTGTTATTTTTTCCAATGAAATTTATTTGTATAAACATGTTCAAAATTAAACCTCAAGTTTAATCTCTTGGATTCTTATACGAAAAAAAACGTCTTTATTCGTAAATAAAAATGTCACTGTATTGAATAGCTTATTATTTGAATAATAGTAAAAAAATGTATACCACAGCAACGTGTGACTGGATCCACTAGCATAATATGAAAGAAAATTCTCCACCAAATATATGAAAATCATTCTAAGAGATAAACAGTCCCTTTGCAGAAGGAGAAAAATATAATTTTAAGCATTTCGTATATTGAATAAAGCACTTTATGGCTATTCTCGTATATAAATTTAACTTTTGTAAGCTATAACTTGTACTCTTTACTCKAACTCATATTATTTATAGCTAGATATGTGTGTATCCTTCAGCGAATTCACTTGATTACATAACTGTAAATTATACTAGTATATTTGTATTGCTCTCTCGCACTCATTTCCCTGCGCTTATTATCATCTATTCTTTTTCCATTTTGTACGCTTTCAGATCCCGATGGCGGCGCTGCAGTGAACAATGTAATCGGCGGACCGCCCGGCAGCACACCGCCACCGTACACGGCCGATGGTAAAATGACGAATGACCGCCAAGGTGGCGGTGGCGGCGGAGGCGGCAGCGGCAATGTGGGGGCTGGCGGTGTTATGCTCTCCGAGTTGCCAGAACCACCGATACCAGTGTCCGAGATTGGTCCAATCCCACCGCCGCCCATGTTCTCAACACCGAGTCCAACATTGATAGCTGGGCGCGCTCATGGGCCGGGTGCGATGAATGATCAAGGTTATCAGGATTATGATTATGACGGTAGGCATAACGGTTATAAATTGTTAAACAAATTTACCATACAGCCCATAGACATATGTAAATGTGTCTGTGTGTCTGTGTGTAAGTGCATGCTGCCGCAGGCATTCGTTGTTTATTGACTGGTGTTAGCGATGAAGGCGAGGCGAGGCGAAGCGATAATTTCGATAAAGCGTTGCAATAAATCTCGCAGCTTTTGCTCGTATTGAATAACAGTACTGTTATTTACAATACATATGTATATGTATTTCATGCAGGCAGCGATTCGTGATGAGGAAAGTTATTCGCGGCTAAGATTGATTGCTCGATTTTAAGTAAGCAGCGGAGAAAAGTGTTGTTGTGCTAAATATATTTTTAAATATTGAAATCAAAAACAATGTGACAAAAAAGTAACCGAAAATTATAATTAATTTTCCCGGACAAATGGAATTTCAGCTGATAGTACCGTCCTTAATTCCTATTCCAAATATGAGCGCGATCTGTCAAGCACTTTGTTTACACCAGCTGCCTAAGTCGGTACACCTTTGTAGTGCGTTGCGGTTATCAGAATGGATAAAAATGTCGAACACAGAATTTGTCTAAAATTTTGTATATTTAATCATTTTTCTTGAGAATATTGGAAATGCCTTACGGTGATTCGGTTTTACCAAAAACTCAAGTCTACGAGCGGTACAAATCCTTCAAAGACGGACAAGAGATCGTTGAAGACCGACCTCGTTCTAGACGACCTTCGATCTCTTCAACTGATGAAAATATTAAAAAAAGTGAAGGATATGTGCTTGAAAATCCTCAGTCAAGTGTTAGAGAGCTCGACATCTCTCGCGATGCCGTTCGAACGATTTTTTTTTTTGGATATTTTGGATATGAAACGCGTTAAAGCTGAATGTTTTTTCAAAAAGAGTACATTGTACAGGTCTCTTCGGACATGCTTGATCATGCGACTTCCGAACCCACATTAATGAAGATCTTTATACCGCCGAAAACGCAACGAATACCGTGGGTCAACCACCGTACTCACCAGATTTCGCTCCGTGTGATTTTTATTTTGTTCTCTAAACTAAAATTGCCTTTCCGTGAAATCCGTTCTCAGTCGATCGAAATCGAAATCGAAAAAACAAAAAACACTGAAGATACACTGAAGGACGTGAAGGCCATCTCAAAAAGTGCTTATGAAAAGTGTTTCGACTGGACTGGAAAAATCGTTGGCATAAGTGTATTACATCTGATGACGACTAATTTGTAGGCTTCTAAATAAATATTGATGAACAATTTTTTACAATTTCCGGGTACTTTTTTGTCACAATGAGATTTAGCAAATTAATTAAAATCCGCTAATTGACTGTTGTGCTCTTTGGAGCCACATTTTACGTATATAAACCAAAACTAGATTTATTGTTTAAGACTTTTTAATTATTACTTAAGAATAAGATTCAAAGATTGTGAAATTTTTCCTCTAATTACTTAAATATGCCTGTAAAACTCATTTTACACCTCATTTAATGTCTCGTAGTGTATCCGTAGTAACTCCTGCTGAACACGCTTTATGTTTCCGTTATATGTTTGTATGCTAACTACACTTGTTTACACWCTACTCACCTATTTGGCCACGTGCCGTTAATGCCTCTGCATGGCATTGTTTCATTATCCTGTCGTGACTCTTTCGCGAGCCTTGTTAAGGCGGCTTTTATTGCGCAATACTATATTAACTGAATGCGCGCGTAAACCTTTTACCGCCAAAGTGTTGATGACGGCTTCGAGTGACGCCTCATGGAGGACTCTACCTCTGCAGCTTTGCCTAGCGCTCATTCCAACGCTAGCGTTCATAGCAAAGGCGTAGCATTAAGAGCCTCTTCGCATTTAAGAGCGTGATATTTTGAGTTGTAAAATTTTTATTAAGCGGGAGGTAGGCTTTGCCACCGTTTTTACTTTAAACGCGACACTTTTACTGCTCATAAATAAGTTGTTGCTTAATGATGCCCAAACAGTGTTGTCGTTGCAACGCTCATAAATACGGCGTCATTTGAAAACAATGTCGTCTTTCCACCACTGCTTGTACTGTTATCGCAGCGCACACTTGTCTACACTCATGTTTTTTTTTTTTTTAATTGATTTTCCGCATTTTCTCGCATTTGTTATTCTACTTTCAAACCGTTTATTCTCACAGATCAAGAGCCTGACGACGACCAGCTAGACTCGGATGAGGAGTATATGTTCCAGTTGCGGCAGCAACAACAATCATTACATCCCAATCATGTCGATACACAGCGCGTTGAGGAAATTCCAGCCAAAGAGCCAAAACCAAATGCAGTTCCTCTCAAGTCGGCGCTGAAGAAGAAGCCCGGCCAAACGTCCACCTCATCGCCGGCCACGCCCACACAGGACCACAGCAATGCCAATGGCAATGTGCAGCAAGGTGGTGGCGGCGGCGGTCCAGCAACATCGGCCAGTCAGCGCCCGCTGGTGGTGCGTCAAGACGCAACAAACAGTTATTCGCTCAAGTAAGTATATGGGGGCATTTTCGGGAGCGGGTAGCCTTCATTTATGTACATATGTGGGTATAAGTTAAGTAAAATAGGTGAAATTCAAGGCATAATGCAGGAATTTGAAATTTATAAAAAAACATATAATTTTTACGAAATCTTTTAATGTATATATTCTCATGTGATGTTATGCCTTGAAAAAGTTGAAGTGTTTTTACAATTTTGACTTAAGATCACATGACTATGAATAAAGATAGTAATTTTTGTGTCAGATTTTTCAATTTGTGTATAAAGTTTGCCACGATGTTTGTAATACCCAAAAGGAAGCGTATGAGACTCTATAAATGTCCGTCTGTCTGTATACATTTATGGGAACTTGTCTCTTAGTTTTGAGATATCAATCTGAAATTTCGTACACGGTGTTTACTCACCAAAAGTCTGCTTATTTGATGAAATGAGCGATATCGGTTCACTATAGCATATAGCCGCCATACAAACTGAACAATCCGAATCAATTACTTGTATGGAAAAMTTTTTTAATTGACGAGCTATCTTTATGAAATTTGCCACAGATTATTGCTTGAGCCAATAATACAATCTCCGAAGAAATTGTTCAAATCGGAGCACCATAGCATACAGCTGTCATACAAACTGACCGATCAAAGTTATTGAGGAATCTTTTGTATTTGTTGTTTTTTCTTGTCTTCATATGATTATTCATATCTCAAGCTAAATTATGCCTTTGATTCACAATCGGGCCTTGATATATTTTACATTTCTGCGTGCTCAGTGAGATCACATAGTCTCATACCGATCGCATCAAAGTGGTAATGGCTTTGTACGGACTCCATTTTCAATCTAAAAAATCCATGTAAATGTAGTTTAAAAAATAATTATTTTAAGTAAATAAAAATTATAGTGTTGAAACTTAACCCAAAATTGTAAAAACACCATAATTTTTGTAAAATAAATTAATTAAAATTTACTTTCCAATTTTAACTCGGTTCACCAAAAAAAAATATACAAACTCCTTAAGCAACGTAGTTGTTCCAATTTACAGAGTTTTTGTCCACTTACCTTTTAATATATTCTAAGAACAATCCTCCCTCTCCTTGCATATATATTTTACGGTTAATTTTTGCGACTGCCCTCTGTGTCACGGATTTTATAATCATTTTAGTAAACAAAAAGAAAAACAACGATTGAACTTTGTACACATTTTTACTAACCAAAAAACGCAATGCCCAATATGCGAAGCCTTTCCTGCAATTAAACAAGAATCTTGCATAATTTTATATACTATACTTTCTTCTTTTCTTTCTTTTTCCTACTTATTTTCACTCGCCAACCAAACACCTCAAAAAATCTAACAAAAAAATAAAAACAAATGCAAAATGAAATTGCTCAAAAATCAACCAAAAAATCAACAAACCAAAAACAAAAAATAAATCCAATATCGAAAATTGAAAAAAAAAAAATCGGAAATCGAAATCATCAATCGCATTTGTTTTTTCACATTCGTTCTACCCCCGAATTAGGCCAATACTACGACCACGGATTAGAATATGGTAATAATTTAGATTATGTTATCAATTTGAATGGTTGCTTGTGTGTAATTACTTTCTCACTCTCGCTCTCTGTAACGCTGTCGCTGTACACCCACACGTATACCAAATAAACAACACAACGCCAATAACCGAATAATCAAATAACCGAATAACCATGCTTTTCAAATTAATTTCATGAATATTTGAAGACTAACAAAGCTAACTCCAGCTGATGTTTCGATTTTCCGTTATTATTTTTAACTATTTATTTAGTTATTTATTTATTTATTTATTTATTTGTGCGCTGACCGCTCTACCACCACCGCCGCCGCCTCTTTTCCTCACTCTGACGAGTCCATGAGTCCATCATACTTTGCCAATTTGCAAACATCCAAACATGCAACGAAACAATTTATATTCCATCGATGTAATTTATGATGCATAACGGTTTGATGTGCTCGTGTGTGTGTTTGTGCACGCCTGCGGCATTTCCTTTTCCTTTACTAATACACCAACACCAATGCGTTTGCAGAGAATGTGCACTTAAGTGTATTAAAGCATGCTCTTGACGATATTTCATTGTTAGCGTTTTTGTTTTTGTAAACCTTATTTGCCGTAGTACATAACTGTGCATGACGAAGTGCTTGCAATATTCATTAAGTTTCAATGTGTAGAGCTTGAAGCAAGCTTTACTTTCATTTCTTCGAAATATTATTATCGAAATATGTACCCGAAACAAATCGAATTTGCGTACATTTTTCGCATAATTTACAAAAAAAAAAAAAATTTAATAAAAGTTTTAGGTACTCATCGGGTAAAGGAAAATCTTCGAAGGTCCTGCTAGCACGTAGGAGAAACACTACCTTGTACCCTTCACTACAAGTGAGAGAAAAACCTCCTTGAAAAATCTCGCAACTCTGCCTTTGGATCAGCACAAAGTAATATAGTTATCTGCTAGATTTGTAAAGCATACAGTTCTTGGATAAAAGTTAAGTTAATTGTATAAAACGGCGATTTATATAGAGAACAAAGCCCACCTCTTAGTGAATGTGATACGATGATTTGAGAGCATGTTTCTATTAAGACGTACCGAATGTGTCTGAAATTGCTATTGTTTATGACTCTCGCTCGCGTTTCGAGTAGCTCGGTCTCTTATGAAACTCTGCTGTTGCATAAGACAGTACAAGTGACCATATTGTGTATTTCCGTAAAATTCAACTGAGTTCCAATCACCTAAGATAACCAAACTCAGATTTTGGGATGAAATTAGTCTAAGAATTCTATATTCATACATAAACAGCGTCTAACAATAGGGATATGTGATTTTGACTGCTCGTGGCGGTCAATTTCTTTAATCAAATTTCGTCTGTGTGTTCAGTCAGGTTTGAAATTTCAACACTTTGGTACAACCCTGGAGAATTGTTGAAGATTATTATACAAATTCAAGGAAAATCCAGAAATTCGAAAAGCATATGATCTGATGGCCTGGCTTTATAGCTTCACCAACCAACAGAATTGGAATGAATCAAACCTCGCGTGGGTCAGGAAACGCAATTGCATACCCAAAAACTTACTGTTTGGTGCGGATTGCGGTATGGCGGCATCATCGGTCCTAATATCTTTCGAAATGAGGCACGAAATGCTGTTACCATCAATAGCGGTATAGCATGCTCTTGACAAAATCTTTCCCCGGAATTTGATGAAATCGAAGCAGATTATCTCTATTTCCAACAAGACGTTGTGCCACCTCATGTCTCACGTCTAAACATGGAATAAACATCGGCTCGCTAATTTTGATAAATAGTTAAATGATCGCCAATATCAGACGATTGGGTACTTTCCCAGATAATATGTAAAATCAAACAGCAACGGGGAACTCGACTTCAACATTCAGCACACTACTTGTATAGCTGAAATTCCTGCCTAAATGCAACTCCGGTTCATCAAAAATTGGCGTAAACGGTTCGAGATACGCAAACGAGCTGTGATGACCATTTAGGCGACATTTTGTTCAAATCATATATGGCATAAAACTATCTGCATAACAAAATAAAAAAAAAAAAACTAGTCCAAGTTTAACATATTTTCGTGTTTTATTCCATTTTAACTTACGTCGTTCTTCTTGGCGGACCCTGTATCTGTTAAAACTCGTAATATTTTTGTATTTTAAATCATTGCTATTTCGTTTCTATTTCTATTTCGTTTCTTGGTTTCTTGTTTTTGCTATTTCCGTACTGCCAAACCTATTTGATTTGTTTGCCTTCAACATGTGTCCACTTAATCATAATATTTGAACAAATCTTCGCAGCAGCCTTCGTCACTGTCAACTTTTAGCATTCGAGAAAAGAGAAAAGCAAATACGTATTTAATAGGGAATGCTCTATATATATGTGCATGTGTATTATGTACCCACGTACATTTTTAAGAAAATCTTTCTAAAAGTTGGCATACATTGTGCCAAAAAAGTATCCGGAAATTGTAAATAAAACGCAAAATATTTAAATATTCAGCAATATTTATTTTGTCGTCTTCAAAGTAATTCCCGCCAACGATTTTTCCCAGAAAAACTTTTCATAAGCA